TCTGTATTGTGAAGATTTTTGTCTCACAGTTGAATAGACCAGAAATATTTCATTGCTCTAAGTAGTTTTCAAATATCAACTATTTCCCCTGCATGTTATGTCAACATTTATTTTTGGGGACTGTTGTTTTAATTCTATTTTCAAACGTACCATACTTGACCAGGTGAAAGGTAATAAGACACCTGTAATGTAATGAAGTTACCTGTAATTGTATTGTCATCACTTGACATGTGCGAATGTATTGATTTCTCATAGTGTCCATAATTTGAATATATAATGAAATGCGACCGTCTTGGAAATCAGATCAGCGTCATATCAAATTATATTTTTAAGGACCTTCATATCATCATGCATGCGCAATGCCTTTTTGAATGCATAATTTATTATAGTTTATCAAGTATAGAATTTACAGTCAAACAATCTTTCCCTAAACTATCAATGATTTATATAATTATATGGATATAAATGCATTTTAATTGTTCAGTCACCGAGTCTCGTACTAATGGGATAAATATCATCTGCCTATCATGGTTATAGGCAACACAAAATGTTTCTTTTGTTTTTCTGAATAGTTTGGGTTTTTTTACATTGCTCAAGATCATATCCTTTGTCCAGTTTATTATGTTTCTGTATGAAATCATCTATGAGATATACAATTCAACAGCCGATGTGACGAGAATTTATGAATATATAGGAGGGTCTGGATGGGGTTTTACAGAATAGATAATAATGGACCAGCAATAAAACTACAAAAAAGGTTAAAAAAATATAGTCTAATGAGCTGTTAAATTATAAAGAATAGAGAATAATGGGCAAAAAATATATTGAATAGAGAAAAATGGCTTCAAAAAATAAAGAATACAAAATTGAGTGACCCCCATGCAAACCCTCAAAAAGGATCGGGTGATTTACTATCAATAGGTTAAGTAACTGCCATTAATCATTATACTTTCTTATTCAATTGTGTTTTTCGTTCTGTCATACCGTTTTTTTATAGTTCAGAGCTTTCCCCGTACTGGTTTTTATTATATATACGGTTCTTTTTATGTACATTTATCGATATCAAAAGGTGATGGCTATAAGATCTCAAAAACTTTAGAAACGCTCAAAACTAAAACTTTAAAAGTCAATGATGTATGAATACTTTAGAAGCTAAAAAGCCTGTTTAAACGAATCAGTGAACTAGCTCTGTCCGGTGTAGGAATACGTCCAAAAATCGTCTTAAGGTTTACTATATCTGACCTTAATAATTTCTGACTGATTTGTCTGCAATAAACTTCATTTAGAAATGCATATCAGCGGCGAAGCGGTACTGCATGACTACTGTGTTAATGATACCAGAGACATATAATACAATTGTATCTGTATGTCTCTAATAATACCCTCGACTTGGCTTAACAACTGCACACATGGTCATTGTAATTATTCAGTCCAGCATCACTTATCTTCACCTCTCAATATTGACTGACACCAATTACTGAATGCTTTCTAATTGGTTGATTCTGTACTAAAACTCCAGAAACCGACGCTATCACATCTTAATTTACATGTATTGTTCAAGCATGCATAATAATTTTCTAAAATAATTCAGATTAATATTCAGGGATTAATTGTGTGTATGTTTGTGTTTTCGAATCCATGGGAATTCTCAGGATTTAGAAATACAAATAAATCCTTCAACTCATCTATCAAAAAATATTGATTATAGAATAACAGAATTAAAACACAATGATGATATAATTTAACCCACCCCCTTTTTCTTTAATATATAAATTATAAAAATATATCAGGATTTGGATAAAAAAATATTTATTTCCTTAGATACATTCATTAATTTTAAAATATCAGGGTTGGAATACATAAATAGTTTACTCTCATAAATCTATTAATTAATGATTATATCTATATTTCCACCGCAAAACTGGCAAACTTGCGATTGTTTTGCAATTTCAAGACACCAGAAGGAAGCGACGTCACAAGCACTTGTCGACTTCCTTTTTAGGAAAACAACAGGATTTGGAGTGATCCACTCTTTAAAGCGAATTTCTTTGATTGGCGACGTTTTTACCAGTAGGAAACCGCTAGATATATAATTTACCACTAAAATATTTCAGCAGTTAGTAAGTTTTTAAGATTAAACTGACTAAGTTTTGATGAGGCTAAAAAGGGAGAAGTTGTGTGTTTAACTGTCAGTATCAAGCAAACGAAAAGTATATTTTATACCGGTAAAGTCTTATATTGGCAGATCTTGGAGAAAGTAATACTCACAAGTAGGGGATGGCTTTTGTTTTAGAACAGTTCCCGCATGGAACGAAATTTGTACGAATTTTAAATATGATGGACAGGTTTACATCATGTACATGTAATTGTATTATTATTAATATTATTACCAATATTCTGTGAATAATTTGGACACAAATTGCTCATTTGTAAAATAAGTTGTGAATATTGTGCCAAGCCATGCAAAATTGATGTATGTTTTTTAAGGTGTAACACAATATGGATGACTAAAAAGAATAGACTCTGTCCCTACGAGCCCAACTAAGTTCCTTCATTATCCTATGTCCTTACTTTCTGCTTTCCCATCATCTGATAATTAGATAACGTAACTCTGTGTCTGCTACTCTCCCATCCTAAATATGATAGAGTTACTCTGTCTAAACATGGTTTCAATAACACAATTCCGTCCCATTCACTTGCAATGAATAAAAGTGAATTATATATAAATCATGTGATTTTGCTAGCGCTCGTCATTTACGAAAAGGTTTTCAAAATGACGAAAGTTTTTCAAAAATTTCGTCATTTAAATTTTAAAAAAGTGTAAAAATATTTTCGCATGAAAATACTATGACTCTACCTGTCTTCATGTTTTTGACAAGTTTATGACCCTCATCTTATTAATTTTTACAACAGGTGTTATAAGTTGTGATTACAGGTAATCCGCTAGACGTCATCAGATGGGTCACTAATCCGTTAATTAATAAACCTCATAAATTATTGACCATCATAATTACAATCGTTCCAACAAGGATTTGTACAAGTCCAAGTTTATAGAAATGAATTCCAAATATCGATTTGACCGTTTTTACAAGGAAAATGATTATGCAGTGAAATAGCAATAACTGCCTGAGCATGCCTAAGTCCTTCAAAGATGTATAGATAGTAATACATATCTCTGGTCCTTTGCTTTTACCCAAAAAAGATTGATTTTCATCTTGCGCAAAAATGACTAAAGCCCTCAAAATCCTAGCTGAAACCCTATTAAATAATACATGTATGCCCTGCCTACGAATCGTACTATGTAGAGGGACAGTTAGCACATGACAAGTCAGACTAGTTTGAAAGGCAACTAAGACCACTTATAAAGAAAACACTAACAAGTATGAAAGACAACCTGGTCCACTTTTGTGCTTATCATGCTTATAACAACTTGAAAGCATTTGCATGCAATAAACAAATAATAGACTGTTATATACATATATCTGTTTTAATGCCCCTGCCGTAGACAACAGGGTTATTAAGTGTTACCTTTGACCATCAGTCTTTCTGTCCATCTGTCCATCCCATATTTGTTTCCACACTCGAACTTGTGTTTGCTTCATGCAATTTTTTTAAAACTCATACACAATGCTAGAAACCAAAACTTGCGGACAGAGTTCGAATTTTGGAAGCGAGTCACTTACTTTCTAGAATTATGAGTTGTAACTGAAAAATGATAGAAATAAACAAGCTTATTAAAAGGCACGAAAGGAACTCAAATTAGTTGAGGTGTCATAAATTTGATGTCTTATTGGTTAAATTTTCAAGTAGGTCATAGGTGTCGTTGGTTGGACTAGTCCTGATTCCTATGCATTTTTTGTGGTCTGTTCGGTTGCGTGACACACTACTTATGAGTATGCGCACCATCCTTAAAATTCACCAATGGACCCCACCATGCTTTAAAAAATTTCTAGGGAAACACAGTGTAGAGAGTATCCCTTGTTTCTGTTGAAAAACTGTTAAAAAAGCGAAATAAAGCATCAATCAGACTACTTATTATTTAAAAAAAAAACATTATGAGAACATGTAAAAAGGTTAATTTTAAGACTAATTAGGAACATAAAGTGTCCATTTTCAAATTTTGTTATACATGATAAAGAGTCGTTTTTTATGTTAAGTTTCACACACTCTATTGTGTCCCTTTAATAATTCAGTTAAAACACCTGGTTCAAAATGAGAATTTAATCATACATGTAGATTATAGTACTCAATCAAACTATAAAATGATAACTTTAGAATATATGATGATGTACATGAAAATATTCTTGAGTACATACATGTACCCAACAAGCAACCACCTTATCTGTGAATACTATAAACCACCTTATTTTTGCGCATTCTGTTAGTGTATGTCGCATAAAGTTCTTTCTAGACAATTAACAGTGATTTATTTTCTCAACTTCTCATTTTCTTGATATATTTATATAAGGTAAGATCCAAGTTTCACATATTTGCGACGATTTAAATACGGTTATTTTTCTATTTGCGAAAGTCACGAAAATAAATCGCTCGAAAAAATTAGTTGGTTTACAGTAATCAACTCCATCTTACAGTATACTCCAGGCTTTTTGAAGGCTAAACATTTGCTAAAGGTCCAGTAAACATGGTAAAGGAGCAGTATACAAGTTTCAAAGTTTTTTTTCCCTGTTGGTCCTTGAAGAAATCTGCAGATTCTCACTATTATTTCTATTGCAAAATACATGTACCAAGAAGTCTAACATTGTGTCAGTCCATGGTCAGGTGTCAGGTTAAAACAGGTCTTTGGACGACCACTTTTCAAGGACTCTGAATGTTTGCTTCTTGTTGTTGTTTGCCTAGATATAGTTCTAAAGAAATAAAAGAAACCCAATTTCAATGATCATAGGATATGTAGGACACTCTCAGAAAATTTAACAAAAATTTAATACCGGTGTACGTTTAACTTTAAATTTTTTTAGGTTTGGTACTTCTTCACAGCCAGAATGTCTTTGGACGGACAGCTTCGTCAGCTGATCATATCAGACCCTCAAAAGAAGGCACCACCAGCTGTAGCACCCAAACCAAAAGTACAAAACTCATCACCCAAGCCATTCAGACCAGGTAATATAAAAATAACGATATATATATAGAAATTAGAAGATGTGGTATGAGTGCCAATGAGATATCTCTCCATCCAAGTCACAATGTGTAAAAAGTAAACAATTATAGGTCAAAGTACAGCCTCCAACACGGAGCCTTGGCTCACACCGAACAGCAAGCTATAAAGGGCCCCAAAATGACTAGCGTAAAACAATTCAAACAGGAAAACCAACGGTCTAATCTAAATAAGAAACGAGAAACACTTATGAACCACATCAACAAACAACAACCACTGAACAGGCTCCTGACTTAGGACAGGTGCATACAAATGCAGGGGGTTTAAACGTTTTAACAGTTGCCAACCTAAACCATTGTATGATTATCAATGAGTCTCACATGACCAAAGCATTTGGGAGTAAACTACTATAGTTCAGACTCACTGTACATGTTTGACCTTCAACAAGGAGCAAAATAGATAACAGTGTAGGAATCTTTAAAAAAAAACCTGGCATTACAAAACATAAAACATGGTACAAAATGTAAAGGCAAGAGTACATGAAACAAGTTCTAGCATTACCAACACCATTCTCATCTGGTTATTGAAAAAATCTTAGCATCATGAAAGCCTTTCAGACTACATGTACATGTAAAAAAATATGAAAATATTCAATACAATTATCAATCTGTGTTTTCCATTACTTTACTTTCATTCCAGTTGACCAATCTTCAAACATCTTAATTTTAAAACAAAAGTCTTTGAGGCTAGAGCAATCAAGACATGATTGCAGAAAGGGACTATGTACCAACAGGTTAATAAGTAAAGAGGTACAAAGAGGATAAAAAAGTATTTTCGCTTTTTGATATGAATCATTTTCATATTAACTGATCTGGTTTTTTTTTCCTAATTTAGCTAATGTATCATGTTCAACTAAAGTATATTAATAAGTTTTCCATTGCTTTTAATTTTTCAGTTGACAGGAAATTCAGGAATGGCTTTTAAAAGTGTTGGTCATTTAATACATTGCGGAAAAAAGGCACTGAAAATAAAGGAGAATACTGTAGATTCATTATTATTCGTGCGATACCAATTTTCATTGATTTCGTAGGTATAGGTAAAACATGAATTTCAATGTTCAGTGAAGAACACATTTTCTATAGGCTAGTGTACAGACTTAAGCAAATCTACAAAATCAAATATCCATGAAAATTTGAATTTTCCTCAATTCATGAAAATTGGCACCCACGAAAAAAAAATAGAACCCACAATATAAGGGAGATAATAGAATGTCAGTTCTGTTCTTCAGTAAAAAGCTTCATATAAGCCTCTTTATTTGCCAATCTTAATTCTGATGTCATGATCTTGTCATTTTGTTATTGATACTAGAAAAACAAAGTATATGGGGTATCTATCCATGACACAAAATCAGTACATGCACAGCAAAAAACACACAAAAAGCAAAGGAACAGCGCTTTTATTGCTGTTCTTCATCTAAAAGTCACAGTAAGGCATTCAACACGGAGCAAAAAAACTCTCACCTCACTGCAAGTTTAAGACTGTAGTGATTGATATAAGATAAATAACTCATACTTTCTCATTAATCTCTGGAAAAAATATGTGATTTAAGGAAATTGTTTTGTGCCTTATATGTACGAAAAACCTTTTGACATTTTACAGGAGGCAGTACCTACAGACAGTTCAGGAGAACTGAAGACGTTCTACCTCCTCCACCTCAGACAGCATATGTAGAGGAACAAAACTTCCCACCACTACCCCCTGACACCGGGAGGGGTTATGGTTACCAGGAAGTACATGATGAGCTCCCTCCCCCTCCTCAAGCATCCACAGGATATTAAGGAAGAGATGTCACGCCACCAATCCACATTGCAACAGACTACAATCAGCAGTCGACATACAACTCACAAAGTGGATCTTATGGAGGGAACCAGTATTCTCCTTCTTCTGGAGGATACCAGTCTAAACCAAGAACAGAAGTTGTTTACAGGACGGAATCTCCTGTTAGCAGTCCCTATCAGGTGGACGAAAGGCAGAGAAACTATTCTGAAAATTTACCAATAGTCTTTCAACCGAAAAGCAACTACGCTAACATTGAATCGATACAATCTGCTTATAGCGATTCTTCTCCTGTTCCTCAGGAACAACCAATTTACGCTAAACCAAATATACGAGGATCATCATCAGATATGTACAATAGACCTTCTAGCAATTCTCCATCTTACATGACTGGTTCCCCTGATCAATACCAGTACCAGCGTCAGAATGAGCCTTCACCACCTGTACATGGAGGTTCTCCCAATCAGTTCTACGGCAGACAAAATAGTGGAGAAAGATCACCCATTATTTACAGCATAACAGTGGTGGGGAAAGAACACGTCAGCTTAGTGGTAGGTCGGGTGGATTTTCTTCAAGCTTTGTAAGTACAAACTTGCTATAATTATGTATCACAAAATGATTTTATTGAGCAAAAAAGAAAGAACAAAAATATTGAACTCCAAGGTTAATTCAAAAAGGGAGGAAGTCCATAACACCTGCCAAAATCATATGCTGTACTAGATCAATCGACGAAACGAATGGAAAACAACTGTCATATTACTACTTACAAACATTTTCTGAAAAAAAAATGGATAAAACAGTACTTATAGCTAGCGAAACCTAGGAACTGATTTTAATAAATTTATATTTATTGTACATATCGTCTGGATGTACAGTTACAGTAAGCCAGATCATTACTGAACTTCTTTGGTACTGAGTATATACATAATATATAGACAGGTTGACCTCTGGAAGTGTTTTTATCTTCTTTTTCATGAATGTTGTGTCCATCTTATGAATAATTATTCCTCATTTGGTATCTTCTATGTTGTATTGAAAATAACATAAATTCTAGCACATATTCTTTCAAAATTTTCATTGCTAATTATTATGTTTATTACTATTATTATTCAGGATGAAAGTACCAGACCTGTTCCTGGGCCACAGGTACCAGATTCAGCTATCAGTATGCAGGGAACCAGTAAGAACAAAGAAGCAGAGGTTGATGCCCTGACAAGCCTCTTAATGGAAAATATGTCATTATCAGCAGATCCTGAATTTATGGGTTTGTACACAGAAACTTAAGTTGTCCACATCATATTGCATGTGATGGTCAGGCCAAACAATATATGTCTGTTTCCTGTCTCCAGCCATTATAAAAGGGGTCGAGGGTCATACATTTTAGGTGTTTTTTTGCATATCAAAAAAATTTAAAAGTAACTTGTGGGTCATATTGGGCTTTACAGAATAGGTAACAATGGGCATAAAATTCAGAATAAAGTCCCAAAAAATAAAGAATACAGAAAATAGGCCAAAATAATAAAGAATGGAGAATAATGGGGTGCTGAAATATAAAGAATAGAGAAAAATGAGCAAAATAAAAAGATAAGAGAAAAATGGTCCAAAAAGTTAAAGAATAAAGAAATGGAGGACCCCCTATCCAGACCCTCTTACATGTATTATCTAAGTCTGATCTCGATTGATTGATTGATTGTTGGTTGCTTAACGTCCAGTGGCAAATATTTCATGCATATTCAGGACGAGAACAAGTTCACAATAAATACAATAGGTAGGTTCTGTAATAGATTAAGGGATTATGGTCGGAGAAATTTAGACTGCCACGGGAAATGAGGGTATATTGGATAGGGACAGAAATTTAGCCTTGCAACAGGTCACCTACGGACCCCTCTAAGAGTTGTTGCAAGGGTTCTTAACGTGCAAAGAGCGTGGCACTCTCTTTACACGAGGCATCGGATTTAACGTCCCAATTCTGACCGGACGTGGCTGCAAATTTGTACATCCCGCACAGCCAAACGGACGCCCCACTTTAGCACGGGTTTTACTGCCGGTCGGAGGAAGACCAATGGTGACCAACTTCTATTCCCCAGTCACCCTTGGGGGTAGTCTGATCTCGATTTACATGACACATCTAGAAGTTTATATATGACAATGGTACATTTGAAATTTCAAATGTTCTGACAATCTTTACACTTGATTTTGGTCAATCTTATTTCAGAATTGACTCAATAATTCAGCAGAATAAAGGATTTGTAGTCTACTCAAACGACATTTAAAGCTATGTTTTTTTAATTATTTTTTATGCAATTTAAACTTTAAGGGTAGCTGGGGAAAAAGGAAACAGACATTCCCCGTTTCCAGTGATCGAGAAGGACGTGCGCCATGCGCCAATTGCGCTTATCGACCAGAAATGGCGCATACAGTGACAAATGTAAGCGCCCACGTGGCGCACGATATATTTCACTTCGTTTTGAAACGTTTAGATATCGTCAAATGGATATCAGATCGTGTTTCGTGTAGCCATGTGTGTGTACACAACTGTGTAGTGTTCCCTCCAATGATAGGAGCACCTATATATTTTCGGGAAGTCTCGGGTGTTTTCCTATGGTAATGATAGCAACATGCGGTATAACTGATTACCCCAAAAACGTAATTAACCATCATTCATGATATAAATTTTTATAAACAACTTTAAATTGTGAAATTTTGCTAGTACAGAGGAGAATTTTTCTCTGATTATAATCTTTTAAGTAAGCTTGCTATTATTATGATTGAAAAACCCAAAAGCTTTTTTATGAATATAGTATTTGTCTCCATAAAAGGTGCTTAACTGTCCTTGTCAATTATTTTTGGTCTTTGGCTCGTTTGAACATTTTGTAAACATGCCTTCAGCGAATTGTTGTTGTGTCTTATCAATTAACATTACTCTCTACTGTTATTCTTGTCATCGTTATGAAGTAATAATATTACACCTTTCCACTCTCCTGTCAATCATCAGTAAATTGACCAATCACATGTGGTTAATTTACCACATGTGTAAACATTTGCTAGCAGCACGTGTTGTCGGCCATAACCTCGGTCAAACATTCTTATCTTAACAGTTAATTTGATCTAACAATTCTTGAAATTTTCACAATTAAATCGTCCAAAATATTGTTTTTGGGAAAGAAATCAATGTAAGAGGGTAGAGGAAGGTCAAGTAGTCAACTTGAAACAAAAAAAAAAGATTTTTTTAATGAATGACAGTTATAAATAAATCAATTAAAAAGTAATATGATGGCAGTGCTTATTGTTTTAAAAATATTGTTTACATGCTATTTTTTTAAAAAAGAAAAAACAAATATTCTGAAACACGAGATTTGAATTGGTGTACAAATTGATTGAAATTAATATTTTTTTCATTAATTTAAAAGATTTATACTATAAAACATGCAAGTTAGTATGTGTAATTTCTGGAAATTACAATTATATATCATATAAAAAAGATTCAGCAACAAAAGAATTGACACCTTTCCCATTTCGATTACAAAGAATTATCCCTAACTTATTCAAATGTTAAAATATTTATATTTGGAAGCTGTTTAAATTGAAAACTACAGGGTATCTGTCATCTTTTGGATGGACAGATTAACAAAATTTCAATTTTCCAGTATAATATTTGTACAAGAACTATTCCATGTTCTTTGACGATCAAATTATTGTAGAGGTAGTACCTTACAATCAATCTGGAGGAGAAATTATATGCAACCTCATCGGAATGAGATGGAAAATAACATTACTGATCTGAAAGTCTGCATGGAATGAAATGATGTAGTGAATTAGATATTTGTAGTCTTTTTGTGTACAAAATGTATAAAAATGAAAGTATTTATGTTTGCACTGCCCTCATCGCTAGCATTTCGTTAGTCGTTAAAAGGCAGAGGAGTAACTCATATAATAATAAAAAACTATATTTCAATAGATGCTTCATAAAAAGTAAGATAATGTTTAATTTTGATATGACTTTGGTCTACTGTGGGAGTATTTGCTGATTGTACTTGACCTTTTTCAAAATTTGTAGTATAATTTACAAAAACAAAAAAAGAAAAGAAGTGAGAGGTATTGGATATATTTTATTTTCTTAATTTGAAAAAAGGGTGAGTACAATGTGCAAAGATTCATGTTAAGGACAAGAGGTATATATAAATTTAAAACAAAGACGAACTACAATAACCAAATATCCATGTAAGCAAATAAACAATTTATTTTCTTTTGTTCTTTATATTTTACTTAGTAACAGGAATTTTAATTATCATTAAGTTATCTATGGATATAAAAAAAGAAAACCTGTTAAATGTTATTTGATAAACAATCAATAGATACTGGAGCAATAATGCTTGTTTTACAAGTTGACACATGCTGTGTTTGTCTACACAGTAAACACACTTATCAGCATTCATTAGCCATGCTTAATTAAACCTGTAATTTATCATCATAATATATCGTATCAATCATGCAATGTACTATTCTATATATTGGTGTTAAACTACATTTTTGGGGAATGAGGGTAATCCAATAGCTTCAAATTTGCAATATTTTAATTATTTCTTTTTATTCAGTATAAATGGACATAATTTCTTCAAAATGTCTTAAATTTATCTCTCAGTCCTTCAGGAGTAACTATTTCATCATACTTCAACACAAAAAACAAATATATGAACAACATATTCCTCTTATTTATATTTGTTTATAACAAATTCTTTACTTTGTTATCATTCAATGTTCATAATAACCGCCATTTTGTTGGTTAGCTTGACCTAGGATGCTAGGTTGCCATGTGTTGCTAAGGGGGGCGGGGCATACCAGTATATAATGGAAAGGTGTATTAATACAAGAAGTGCAGAGGAAATGCCAGAAACGTCCTCTAATACGGAACGTCTGGAATAAGTATGGTATCGACGAAGACCCAAATTTAATGTAAAAAAAAACATGAACATGAACAAGGCAACAGTACCAGTTTTAACATTGTAAATAAAGGTTATCGTAAATATTGCCCGGTTTGGAAGAAGTTAATGTATATTCATTGAAATTGAAATTACAAAATCACAGGAACAATATCCATGATATCAATTAGAATCATACAGGTAAGTACCACTACCTCTTTGCTGAAATATACACTTTTTTATTTTTTTTATTGTAAACGAATGGCCCACTCATTTGACAACATGGCCCATTAATTCTAAAAATGGCCCATTGAATTTATTTTTGGGGGGCCCTGGACCCATAGAGAAAAAATCCTTCCAGATCACTGCGTTTCCATTCTCAATTTTATATTTTATTTTGTTTTGTTATTTATAAGAAACAGCCTGTTTTCAACAAGAGTATGTGCACTTGCAATAAGTTTCGTTTCATTATGCACAAAAACACAGCAATTAGAACAGGAAGCATTTATATATACCAGTATTTAAAAGAGAGGCTAACGATACCAGAGGGACATTCAAACTCATAATTCTAAAATAAACTGACAACGCCATGGCTAAAAAAAAGACCAACAGACAAACAATAGTACACAAAACACAGCATAGAAAACTAGAGACTGAGCACCACGAACCCCACCAAAAACTGGGGGTGATCTCAGGTGCTCCGGAAGGGTAAGCAGATCCTGCTCCACATGTGGCACCCGTCGTGTTGCTCATGTTAGTACAAACCGGGTAATAAGTCTAATTTGGAAGGTCACATTCGGGGAAAGTTTAAATTTGCCTACAAGCAAATATTTTCAAAAAATAATGAAAAAAATATTTTCAGATCTCAAACCTTACTGTAAATAACTTAATTGTCCTAAATGACAATAAGAGTCAACCATCAACATGAAAAAAAACAATAGACATCTTAAGGTCAACATAGCATGACGTTACACAATTTAAACAAACACTGACATGATTGCAGACTTGAGTCAAGCAACTTGCCAAATACTGCAATTTCATAAGTTATCCACAATGTTTTTATTACTAAATTGCAATGGGATAGGTTCACAAAAATAAAAACCCAAATTCTAAATTTCGATAGCTTTTGTTTGCAGAAAATGTTGAAATCTTAAGAAATAATATCACATTAGTTTCCATTGTTCAAAATCGCTGAATTAAATGCACACAAAAATTTCTGAGTTTGCTGCTGAGATTTGTCAAATAATAAAAAAAAAGGAGAGTCATTTCCCTTTCATTGCTACAAGAAAATGCATAATATGGTCTATATAAACCTAGCTAAAAAACTAGTATGACCTAAAAGTCCTGTTAAAGCTGAATCTTTAC